GGAGGCTGGGAGGAGGCTGGGGAAGGTGGAGCGATCACTCCACACCAACACCGGGTTATGGAAATACAGTTCTGGGCTCTCTGGGTATGTCTGTGCATGGACAGTCATCCACACTCCCAACAGGCTATAAAAGGAATGTACCTTTCATACTGTTTACATTGATCAGGAAGTTTTTTTGTGGTAATTGCACTGTAATGCTGCCTCTGATGTTTCTGCCCTGTTTTAAACATCATTATCTTCAAAAGATTATTTTTTTTCCCCCCTGCGCATACCTTCATTCTCTTTCTATACATTTGCTATTTTATCTGTATCATCCTGCTTTACTGCTGTGGAAGATATCCAGGCTAACAGCTCTTCTTTCATTTCATAACGAATGGCATAATTAAGGCTTAATTAGAAGCATATGAATAAGGAAATGGCATGCCACCCAGGACCTTAAATGTAATACCATTCAATTGTTCAAGTACAGCACTCTCCTGAAAAAAAAAAAAAAAAAAAAAAAAAGAAAAAATCCTAAACCCACAAGCTTATTTCAAGCTGGATAGCTGGATCTTTTCAGAATGATATGATTACCTACTGACAATTAATTGTTTTCTAGTTGTAATTCTAAAAAGACAATGTACTTTCTTTCCCCTGCCAGATGTGTGGAAATGACACCTCTCTGTGCATTGGATTTACAGAGAGTGTTATATGCAAACATTAAAGGTCTTAGCAAAGATCATACAGCACCATCTATGATACTCCAAGCTATGACACTGTTACACACTTATAGAAAATGAAAGCCTTCAAAACAAGATGTGGTTTTTTTTCCCTCTTTAGAAGCGTGATGATGTTAAAGAGGGAAGAGGGTCAGCTGATAGATGTCCTGTGTTCTCTGTATCTTTGACTGGTAATGGGAAGACGAAAGTAGGCTTCCCAGCTCCATATGTCAGGTCTCTTCAGTTCCTTCTGACATTACAGCCCCAAGGACGGGGTCGCATCCCTGACTCATCCACTCAACTCCTGGTTGAAGGAGGCCAGAGTATCCACCAGAGGCCATGGGTTTAGAAGTGGGTGACTGTGGAAAGCATAGAGGAATGATGGGCAGGTCTCTGTGGATTGTGATGGTCAGTAGAGGAACTTTTGATCCACTCACTGCTATTCATTCTTCCTTGTTTCATTCGGTGAGCTCAAGGAGTCAACCTTGAATTTCTAGAGGGTTCCTAAAAATATATGAGGCATTGTCACTCCTTTCCTGTAGGTCTAAAATTTCTGAAGTTTGCTTGGGAATAGCATTTTCTCATAGAGAGAATGCTGTCTGTGAGTGTGTGTTCACAGTTCAAGTGTCTGACCTTCCCTGATTTCCATTCAGCCAAAGCAGCTTTATTGCTCCAGAGCACAGGGGAATGAAGGACAAGATTTGGCATCTAATTTGCAAATCCACTGGTAATTTGGGGTGTTCTTCAGTATTAATGACTGAAATTATTTTAAACCATCAGTGTCAGTATCAGTGAACTGCTTTTCTTCTATCTGCTTCTGCTCATTCTTCATGATTTAGAGAAGATGTGACTGTATTCTTGCACTGAGGGAAAAGGCTTTAATATTCTTTGCTATGCACATGAAAAAAAAAAATACTCCAGCAGGACTGTGCTAACAGGCACGATGTCTCAGGCTGGCCAGAAATATTGCAGCTAGACAAGGCTTTGTCAATCATTTTTAAACAAAAGCTCACATAATCTTTTGAAAATAAGAAATTGCTTAGACAATTATGCTGTATTGCTAGGATGATTTTTACTTGCAGCCAACGAAAAATGGATCTGCAAGCCAATAGGTTATTTAACATATTTATTTCCTCACCAGTTCATTTTCTTGTATGTGATAGAAATGTGTTCATACCCTTAATTACACAGTTATATGCCTGAACCGCCTTCTGATGTTCTGTGGAGCTTGGAAAAAAGTCACTGAATTGGGTGAGCACTGCTGAGCTCTGACATCTGCTGTAAGCACCACATGAAGGAGCCAACATTGGCCTTGTGAGTGATCAGATACAGGCAGGGCTGTGAGGGAGACAGGGAAGAAAAGCTTTCCATAAACAGGATACGGCTCTGCAAGAAGATATAATATGCTGGTTCTTTGCTCATGTTTAGCTTTGCTGTCTTCATAAAGAAATTAGTTAGGATTAATTAAAAGATTTCCATTTGTCCTACTTCAGAGACACCTCTTCACAGACAACGCTGGCACCGCTCTGCTCTCATTTGCCCCTATTTTGGACGAGGGCAGCAGTTTTGGATCAGGGTTTCAGTTCTTAGCTTGCACTGCTCTAAGTCAGGAGAAAGATCACTGAAGGCAGTAAGGAGAAACCATGCAGACAAAAATAAGAACCAGCTTTGCAGCTCCAAACTCATTTTCTCTGGTTCAGGCTGGCATCTCCACAAACTTACCGGGATGGCATAGGAAATCAACATTCACCTGCTGTGTCCTGCTTCTTCGCTGTGAAGGTAAAGCTCTTGCAATTATACAGATCTCTTCTTGTAGTCAGGGCAGGCACTGTAATATTTTCTGTTCTCAGGAACCATATAGCTGAAACTATATAACAAAGCAGGACTTCTGATATTCTTAGATATTCTTAGACATTCTTATCCTGAGATTTCTTGGCAGAGACCCAATCCTGCTTGCTTTAGTCGTGAGTACAGCCACTTGAGAAGAAAGAAAACAGCACCATTTTTATGAGAAAATGAATCAAATTTGTTAACGATTGACAAGGTGAACACTGATTTCTGCCCAAGAACAACACTTTTATTTTCAGAGAAGAGATCTGGCTTGTGTCTTCTTCAGGTCCTGTTTTTGAACAACATCTGACAGTTTGCAAATTTCTGAATGAGAAGTACTTCAGGACTAGATACCTTTCTAACATGTCTGCAGCAACGCATTTACTAATAGCAGAAATGCTTTTATTCTGTTTAAACCTCCAAGATTTTATCCGAAACTATTACAACTTTTTTTTTTTTTTTTTTTTTTTTTTTTTTTTTTTTTTTTTTTTTTTCCCCTCTGATCAGTTTTCTACTGACAGGATGAGCATGTTCTTGCAAAGAAGCTTATTCAGCTTCCATGCAAAATGGGAAAGCACATCCTTGCGACCCATGGAAATGAAGCTGCTGCACCCCACAGCATAGTGGGACCTCCTCGGTGACGATGTGTGTCAGCAAGAGGGAGAGCCCGGCTGACGCTGCTTTAGGGATGTGGGAGGCCTGGATGTCTGCTGACCCCGTGAATGCAGATTTTCTGCATGAAACTCATGGTTTGGGGCAAGGCGAGAGTGAGCGCAATGCGCCCGATTGCTGCTGCCCTCTCCCGGGTAGATGTGGCCAGACAAGACATACCGGGGTGAGGAGCCCAGGGGACACCTTTATTGTGCTTGGATTGAGCGAGGAGAAGGCAAGAATCCACTCAGAACAAGGTGATTCCAATTCCAGAATAAGGTGATCCATGCCCCAGAAGAAAGCAGTCCCCATACAGGTGCTTGGCTGAGGGATGCTGCAGGACACCCAGAGCCAAGGGGTCTGCACCACTCAGGCTTTGCCAGCTGCATTGCGCTCACCAAACATACCCCATGGGCAATGTTTCTCCGTGTTCAGCCTACACCCCATGGTCTAGTTGATACTAATCTAAACAATAGCAGGGTAATGCCCAGGCCCTGACGCTGTCTTGCTATGGCCATCCTATCAAGCAATTCTAGTTTTCTAGAGGTGTTTCTCCTGTCCATGCTATCTGTTAGACACGGTCCTTGGCTTGGTCTACCAAATGTTGCACAGTATTACTTAGACCCACCTTGGCAGGCAGAGCAGTAGTACTGGGTGAAGATCTGTTATCCAGAATAGTACCTGATTAATGCACAGTGAAAAGCTTAAGGGAATGGTCTGGTGCACTTTTTGTCCCTGGTTTCTCGTTTCTCTGTGTCACGCTTGTTAAGTTTTCATTTCATTTTCCATTTTCAAACTCACTGTTTTGCAAGACATTTCTTCACAGCCAAGGTGTTCATCTTGTCTGAAGATATTAGGTGCCCTCTCTTCTGTCAATTGCCTGCCGGATGGCATCTTTATAACTACCTTTATGTTGTATTTTCATTTGGCAGCATAAAAACATCCTGGGCATATCCATGGCATGATGCTGTGACATTTATTGTCAAAGTGAAATAAGTTAATGCTAGCTAGACCAGATCACAGCAAGCTGGCACTGTATCACTGCCATACCTGACCTAGACCTTTTCTAGAGAAACCTAGATCCTGTGCGAAGCCCATTGAAGTCCCTGGAAGTAATGGTAGTGACATGGAATGGGCATAGGTGAGGGTCCCGGTGGACACAGGAGCAAGCAGAAAGCAGGGCACTGCAGCCCTGCTGGAAGACTGCCTGCCTGCTGTCACTCACACCTGCTGCTCTGGAAAGGGCCTGCTTCCTGTGACTATGCTTTTATGGAAACCATGAGGGAAAATCGGTGACCAGGTGTGAACAGGGGAGCCCTGCCTTGGGACACTGCTCAGGAAGTGCTCTGACTGCAGAAGGTGTGGTGTGTTCCTCCCTCATTGATTCCGTTTTCTGATTTGGGGATTTTTTCTAATTATTGCTGGTTTTTTTATTTAATTTTTTTTTTTCTTCACACTTCAAAGTGCCTTCCTATACAACAGGTACTTTTAAGCACTATTTTTGGATGAAAACAGTGTTGCCCGACTGGAATATGGTACAGAAAATGCACTCGCACGTCATGAATATCTAAGAGAACAAAACTTGTAGATGTACTCAGGGACGTCCTAGGGCCATACAGGGCACAGTGCATCTGCGCGGAGCCGCAGACCATCGCACCCCGGAGGCCGCCGCCATTACTCAGCCCCATCCCCACCCACCCAAGAGCCCGCTCCGCCTTTGGCCCCGCCTCTTTCTCTGTCTTCACCAATGAGCGGCCGCTTCCCCAGGCGGAGGCGGGTCGTTGCCCGGCACGGCACTTCCGGTTCCTCGGCGCGGCCGCCATGGCGCCGCTGCGCTGTCAGCTGCTTCTGCTGCCCGCTTTGGCTCTCGCCTTCGGCCCCGTCGCCGGGCTGGAGGCGCCGGACGAGGCCGAGGAGCTGGCGACGGGGATGGTGGCGGAACTGCGAGCCGCGGGGTTGCCCGGAGATCTGCCCGAGCTGGAGCCCGAGTGCCGTCGCCTCCTCACCGCCTTCGCGGAGGGCAGCGCGACGCTGTCGGGGTGCCTGGCCCGCCGCGCCCGCCCAGTGCGGCTCTGCCAGGCCTGCGGCGGCCTCTACCGCAGCCTCCTGACGCAGTATGGGGACATCGCCCGCGCCGTCGGGGTGCGTCCGACGGGGCGGGGACGGGGGCCCGGCTCCTCGGAAACGGGTGTCCCTGCGCTGAGAGAAGCGCTCCGAGTTCCTTTTATGGTCTTGTGAAAGGGGAAGCGGTGTTCTGGTACCGGCTGTCTGTCTGTGCCAGTTCCTGGCGTGGCGGGGTGCACAGAGGGAAAAGACCCTGCCTTCTCCTTTGGATGGTGGGAAAGCCCGGGTTGCTTTGAAGCTGTGCTTCAGGTTTGCTGAGTGCCTGAGGGGAGGCTTCGTGATGGCCTCGCTAGAGGAGCAGAAGGGCAGCACTTATCTTTGCTTTCTGATTATGGCGGCGGCAGGACCTGAGGGTATGGCATGGAGATGCGTCAGGGAGGGTCACATTGGGCACTGGGAAAGGGTTTTTCACCAGAGGGTGGAGGGCACGGCCCAAGCTGCTGGTTTGGATTGTGTTCTCAGACATAGGATTGAACTTTGAGTGGCCATGTGTGGAGCCAGGGGTTGGACTCAGTGATACCTGTTGGGTCCTTACAATTCAGGATATTCTGTGATTTTATGTCATCAGTGAGTAATGCTGCCTTTCTGGGGAACCAAATCCCCATGCACATGGATCCAAGGCTGGTAGGAGCGTGTGGCAGAAGCATGGTAGCTCTGGGCACTGGCTTATGCCTCTGAGCCTCAGCAGTGGGAAACCCTGACTGAAGACAGGTCTCCTGTTGCCATCTTCCTGCATCTCTATCCCCTTATTTTCGTTTCTCCCTACTGGACGTGGTTGATGACTAATGCTATGCATTTATGTCTGTTCTTTAACTCATCCAACTTGTCTGTTTTTAAAAGTTAGTCCCTAACATGGTGTGAAGATGACAGTGGTTGGATGAGACTGAAGGGCTTTGTCCATTCTCTGATAATGACTGGAAGTGGTTGTCCTCCTAGAGTACAGGAAGACTTTATAGCAAGTTTATAGCAGTCTGTCACTGAGACTCCCAGTTTAGAGATTACTGAATCTGTGTTTGGAATCGCTACTGATAGACAAAACCTGCATAGACTTCTGATACTACAGCTTCATGCTGTAAACAGTTTCACATTCAGTTAGCTGTCGTGTTAAGAAGCGTCACTTTTTGCCTACTTTTGATTTGTTGTCTGCCTGACCTCCCTCGCCTTTGTTCTGGTAGTGGAAAAGCAAATGGACATTCATTTGATATTTGCCCTCTTAAGGACAAGTACCTAGCCTGTAGTCTGCTGTTTGAGTGTAGACACCTGTGTTATTTGTTTCTTGTCTGGAGACCGTTCCATGCCATCTCAGATTAGGTCATGTGAAGGTGAGGGAGTGAGCCTGCGATTCTTACTTTTATATGACATCTTAAAGATACGTACAGAACTCTGCTGAAATACCTTGCATTTGTGGGCGCAGGTTACCTCTGGGATACTTCTGGGTAGGTTGCCAAACAAATCCCAGTGCTTGCAGTGTGTAAGAACTCATTAGGGCTGTTTTTCTGGAGTGCTGGTTCAGAATTTCATCTGAAATTTGTTTTGAAGAGCATTTTACTTTCCTTCTGTGCAAGGATGACCTAACCAAATAAATACAGAAAGTGAGCTCGTTTGACCTGAGTCCATGATCATGATTGATCAGGTATTTGATGTTTTTGGTCATTCCCATCCTGCAGTAGTTACACAGCATGAAAGAAACAGTCAAGTTAAGTTTTGGACATCCCCGAAAAGTAAAATCCTCCTCACTAGGCTTATTAAATAACTTAAGAAAGCATCTTTAAGGAACAGTATATTTTGACCGGATCCATGTTGGGATGTAAAATGCTTTTTCCCACTCACGAGTTTGTGGTGAGGAAGTTTCAGTTTTAACTGCACCTTGTGAAGCAGTTGGGGAGTTTCCTGCATATGCAACTTGATTGCGTGTCTGTTTGCTACTTACTAGAATTGAAACTGTGGGAGTTACCAGAAGTGGCAATATTAGACTTCTGCAGTTCAGTCTCGAAGGGAAACTTTCTTATTTAAAAAGAACTAAATAAATGTATTATAAGGGTGGAAAATGTATGTCTCATACAGCTGTATAAGCCATGCATTTCTTGTTGAAGAGATTCTTTTCTTGCATGTCCCGTGTTGCTTATCAAAGAGGCATTTGGCAGCTGTGACAGTTCTGAGGAGTGCTTAAGGCAATTTAGCAGCTAGAAACCAGGAGCTAGAGCACAGGAGTCAGCTGACTGCAGATCATGGTTTCTATTGGGGATTTGAGGGAGAAAATAAAGCTCTAGAGGAGAAAAACACTGTAAATTCTAATAGGGATATTTCATTTCCTGTTTATTTTGTAGCTGCTTTTATAGTCATTCTTTTTTTATTAGTTTCATCCAGAGAATAATTTGTTCCGAGAATTCTCCTGTGTCCCCTTTGAGGATTGGGTATGTTGGATGGCTCTCTCAGATGAGATCAGCTTGGTACCCATATCCAATGAAGAAGAGAGCCTGGCTTAATAGTAGGCTCATGGGAATTACTGCTGTGTTGCTCTTTGGTGGACTTTGTTCCTGTGTAGCTGTATGTGGAAGCAGCTTGCTGCTGATACAGTATGTTGGTCCAGCATTTCTGGATGTTGTTTTCTGTTGTTTGGGTTTTGTTTGCTTGGAGGCTGTTGCATTGGTTCAGCTCCTTCAGATAGTTCTGTGGTCTCTTGAGAATGACCCCATCAGTTTCTCTGGCTGTGAGGGCCTGGAGCTGGCTCCAGGGACAGCTGTCCAGAAACAGGGGAACAGGAGCTGGCTGGCCTGTCATAGAATTGTGACATCACAGAATGGCTTGGGTTGGAAGGGATCTTAAAGATCACCTTGTGCTTCCTTCTTCTTGGTGTCACATACTTTTAACTGATGTTCATGCAGTCCTAGTAGCTCTTCAGAGGTAGTGCACAGCAAGCTGTGTTGCTTGTAGTAAGATTTTGAGGATCAAAAGACTTTTTTCTTCAGTCGATTCTGCTTTGCTTAGTCTAGAAATGTCAGTGTGATGAGATGTGATGTTTAGCTGTTTGCCTAAAATACTTTCCAAAAGCTTTCCCTTGTTTTTTTTTAACATTTGATTGTTCTTTTTTAATTTCATTTTTGTTCTAGAATTCCTCCGAGAGCCACGACTGTGCCAAAAGTATCCTGACCTCGGACAGGCTGCAGGTAGTTGTGACCCTTTCAGCGTTCTTTAATGACACGTGGGAGGCAGCCAACTGTGCAAGTGAGTGACTCGTTCTGTAGCTGTCATGCTACTGTTATGACTTAGCTCAGTGCTGCATCTAAAATTTGCACAGATTGGAATTGTATTTTTTTATGCTGTATATATTATAGTACATACTGTATGTAGTATGTGAAGATCCTAGACTAGAATAGCTTCAGTGAGGAGTACAAAAGATTTTTGTATTGGCTGTGGTGTGCTGCCAAAATCTGAGGGTGCCAATCTAGCTAAAAAAAACCCCACCAGATATTGTATATATTTCTTTTAGATAATTTGTTCAAACAGTAGTCATGTTAGTAGTCATGTTTTGTTTATGATCTACAAACTCTAACGGAGACTTTCCTTGTTTTCAGTGCAGTTTCTTCAGTTTTTCTACCATCTTCCTTTTATTAAAAAAAAAAAAATATATATATATATATATAAGAAAATTTGACTTCTTCGTTAATAAAAAGCCAATAGCTGGAATGCTTTCAGGTTGAATAATATTTGCCTTCACAGCTGTGCTTTTGATTTCCCTTAATGGGTGGAGAGTATCCAGGTCTACCGTTGTGCCTCACTGTCCTTGTGCTTGCTGATGGTGCTGTGCTGTGCTTACAGATAAAGCATGGCTTTTTGCTGTTCCCCTGGTGTGAAAACTGGGACCCTAACCTTAAAGGTGCCCTAGAAAGCAGGGAATAGTACTGTGAAGCTACGTGTTACAGATGAGAGCATGTAGAGTTAGTTTTCTTTTACACATCTGGGATCTGTGAAGGCTGGAAAGACAATGCAGAAGGAGCAGTGTGGTCTGTGCTGTCCTTCCGGGTTTTGACCTGTATGTTGCCCTCCCAGTGTCCAGCTGAATGGCTGTTCTCCATGCTGATGTCAGTTCCTTCTCTCAGGAAAATTTTCTAGAATGTTGGCTTGCTCTCATAGTGCCCTTACTGAACATTTAAATTCCCAAACCCCTGCCATTTCCAAGGGTGTAACTGATTACAGCATCTGAAGTAGGATGGTTGGCTGGAAGTGGTAATATGTAGGGGTTGAAATGGTGAAATGTCCACTTGTATTAAACAATAATAACTGCACTCTGATTTCTACCACTGTGTTTGTGGTCTGGCCTTTGCTTGGGTGCTGTCCATTTAATCTCCATTTCTGATGCTTCTGCTTTCCCATAATAGCTATTACCATTGCTGGGCAAAGCCAGGTTTGCAGGGTAGAAAATAAAAGTAATGCCTTGTTTTATCTTAAAGTCCAAAGATAATTCAGACCCCCCTCTTCAGAAAACTCTTGATGATAGTCTTCATCTTTCACTTAATCAAGGCCAATTAATTCTGAAATGTATTCTTGTTGAAGAGTTAGGTCAGCAGGTCTGAGAATCAGTGGCAGGCAGATAAGGAAAATGCAGGGTTGACTAGACCCATCTTTTATAGTCGAGAGCTCTTTTTGCAAGAGTGGAGTGTCTGGGAATTGTCAGCTCTGGAAATGTTAGAATATCCTCATGTTTTTCTTTCTCTTTGACAGATTGTATAAAGAACAACAGTGAGGGATTATCAAATTCTACTCAAGAATTCATGGATTTATTCAATAAATCTCTGACATGTTTTGAACGCAACCTTCAGGTATTTATGCTGTGTTTTTAAGAGAAGCACTAAATTATCTAATTGCTAGAAAAACCTAATTTATGCTGCATATAATGCAGGTATATACCAGGCAAAATTCACAGACTTAGTGGCAGTTTATGCAGGTAAAGCCATGATCTACAGAAATGCAGATGTTTAGAGATGGCGACACTGAAATTAATTCTAATTGATATTCACCTTGACTTCATTTTGTATGTAATTGTGATGCTGCTTCACGTCAGAATTTCTGTATTCACAACAGTTGATAATTACTTAGTGAGTGCAATAATGTCTGCATGCTGTAAATTTCTTTTTTTGCCTCTTTGTGAAATTGTTGTCTTCTGCCTGAACAATTCAATCTTTAAATAACCTTTTAATAATAGAGAGTAGTTCAGAAGGACCAGCTACTTTAAATGATGGTTACAGTTGTTTCGACTTGTAAAATAATTAGCAGTCCATACTACAAAGGTAATGTAATGCAGTTTGTGAAATAAATGTAGTAATTTTCCTCAAAGAAAATGTCCTAAATTGCCCAAGAAACAGTGCACATTCTGTTTCAGTCAGTAAGTAGGCACATTCTGTGATCAGTCAGTGGTAAAAATGGGAAATAATGAGTATGGTACAATCTCAGAGGAAACTTTTTTATTATTAATGATGTGAGAAAAGTGAGCTGGAGTAGCGTTGGTTGGGAGCCACACAGTCTGGTGTGTCAGTCAGAAGTCTAAATGAGATCTTAACCCATGGGTGTCAGCGATGAACAAGGGTGTGCATGCCATGCCTGTAAAAGCCTGCACCAGCAGATGTGTCCCACTGTTGCTGTTGCCACATCTGAAGGGCACCACCCACCTCCTCACTGTGCTCACATCCCATTTGGTCTCCATAAACACTCAGCAAGTGTTGATGAATGTCAGTGGATGTCATTTTTTCTGCGTGGAGGAATTCAGTGACACACCTTTGCTTCATACACACTTCCATGTTAGATGCCATTGTGTCAGACTGCCCCTCTGCTGCCGTCTGTTGCACAGCAACAAAAGGTAATGGGATATTGGAGAGAAGGTGCTGCTGCCATACCTGCTTCTGATGTCATGGACTAACATAATAAAATAGGAGGCATTACTTTTGAGCTACTGTGTATAAGTGACAAAACATTTTAGTTTTTAGTATTTTTTAATTAAAAGATAAAAAAAAAAGGAGAACAACGAAACCATAATGTGGGGTATTTGACCTTGTTTTTGTGAAACTGATGATGACATGAAGATGTGATGGTGAAGCGAGAGATATTTCTCTTTGTTAAGTTAGGGCTTGTAAAAGTTTGGTAAAGAGACACGATCAGATTTTTGAGTTGAATGTCTAATTGCAACTCTGTGCATTCCATTTGAAAATTTGCAGGTCGTGTATTTATGCTAACTGAAAATGGAGTCACAAATACACCAAAAAAATTGATGATTTTTTTTTTTTGCAATCTTGAGGTTTGTTCTCAAATTCCTTTATCACAGTGGAAAGCACAGCTGCATATTTTTTGCTGTTTACTGGTCTGTGTTTAGCTGATGTATCAAAATACATAAAATTATTTGCCATAACTTGAGTTAGTGCTGCACTGTGCCCTCTACTTGTCCTGGTTTCGGCCCTGATGGGTTAATAGCACACTGATGTTTGGTTGTTGCTGAGCAATGGGTGCATGCTGGCTGTCACCATGATGTTATAGGGCAGGGGGCAGCCACATTGCAAGCCATGCTGGGCTGCAGGTTGAATGTGCCTCTCTTTACCCTATGTTGGTCATTAGCTGTTTTCAAGTGTGTTGTATTCCACTTAGTAATGGTGAAGGCCATAAATGAAATGGGTTTATTGTGGCAGGGTTTGTAATGATCATGGTTGCTCAGCAGTAGTAACAGCTTCTTGACAATAGCCAGGTGATCAACATGGCATTCAAGGCCAGGCTGGATGGGGTTTTGAGCAGCCAGGTCTAGAGGGAGGTGTCCTTACCTATAGCAGGGGGGTTGGAACTACGTGGTCTTAGAGGTCCCTTCCAATTCAAACCATTCTATGATTCTGTCATCAGATGAAAGCCAAGAATACTATTAAGGATCCTAATCTGTGTTTCTGGAGTAGGAGTTACTACCAATTCTTTTGTTTCCCTTCCTTCTCTCTTATCTGGTACTTTTGAAATAAGCTTTACAAAATACTGCTAGTCCAAGGAGCTGTTTGAGTTGCATGATCTACAAAAAATGGATTTTGTCACTAGAACAGCCTAATGAATTAAAGTTGGTCCCTTTCCTTCCTGCGTTCTCATGTGAGTCATTTGACTGGGGCCTTTTTGCATTGTGGTTCATTGCAAATCTGGATTTTTGGTTCAAACTTGACTCTGTATTTTAAGATTTTTATAATGCCTTAAATCTCTTTATGAGTACTGCTGTTTTATAACCTTAGGGGCAAGCCATGGATCTATCACCAAATAACTACACTGAAGTATGTAAAAACTGCAATGGAACCTACAAAAATTTGAATGACCTCTATAACAAGTTGCAAAGGCTGAACAGACATGGTGATGAGTCTGGGCATTCCACACATTTGTGTATCGATGTGGAAGATGCAGTAAGTATTTGTTAATATTCAGCAGGGAGATCTTATAGAAGTTAACCTGAGCCATTTGTGCTTGCCTTGCTAGGGATTGCCTTTTCTCTCTGTGTTTGGGACTGGCAGTAGTGCGGATGTCCTGCAGGAGGGAGCCTGGTGAGGCAGTCTTGTTAGCTCCTGTCCTCAGCTCCTGATTGCCTGAGCACGTTCCAGTATGAGTAGTTGCACTTTAATTTCTTGTTACTGTGAAGGGGACAAATACTTTAAACAACAACAACAAGAACAACAAAGCTCTTAATCTTTTAATGCAAAGCTTTGCTGCTGTTTTTGTAGACTGTAATGTTGATTCCTTATTACAGCAGCTGTGTCTAGGGGTCTACAGGATTTGCAGCATATGTTTGGAAAAAGCTTTGTTACGTTGTGGGGTTTCAAGTGATTGGGCAAAAGGAGTGTTGGTGAAAGTGTGATATTAGCTCCATCTGCACAGGCTGTCAGTGAGTTCTGTAGGAAACAGGCATGTGGCAATATATGCAGTATATGTGCATACAGCCTTTTTATCAGTTTGTTGATGTGAAATTTTGGCTCTGTGTAAATGGTCTGCTTTGACACTTCCAGGGATTTGCTTGTTTTTGAGGGGAGATCTGTGAAAAGTTGTTCCCTGGGGTCATGTTTGAACACTTGAATATCTTGAGACCTGAACGTCTGCACATCAAGAATGTGCGTGCTCTCTTACTGCTGGCTTATGTTTTCCTTTTAGATGAACATCACTCGGAAGCTCTGGAGCAGGACTTTCAACTGCTCTGTTCCCTGCAGTGATACGGTCCCAGTGATTGCCGTTTCGTCCTTTATCCTCTTCCTACCTATTGTTTTTTATCTTAGTAGCTTCCTTCACTCAAAGCAGAAGAAGCGGATACTCATTTTGCGTAAGTGATGTTGCTCATTTTGCTGTTAGAGCTGGGTGTTGCCAGGGACTCTCTTGGCTCTGGTGGGAGCAGGGGCCCAGCCGGCTCTGCCTGCAGCTGTGCTGACGGCGCTAATAGCGACTATTAGTCTGCTGCTGTCCCCTCAAGAAGGGTAGTAAAGAGCTTCAGCCATATCTTTTCATTAAAGTTTTTGGACGTGAGCAGAAAGCTGTTTGCAAGTCTGTGCCGAATAAATAGAGGGAGTGGAGAGACTAGTTTTGTGGAATTCTTTGTGTTTAATTTTCATATAATTTTTCCCTTTCTAGCCAAACGTATCCAGTCAAATGCCAGTCTTGTGAACATCCAAGAAAAATACAGCTGAGCTGCAAAACAAAACCTGAGAACTGCTGCTGGTATACAGTGGGTACAATTGTGTTGGAATGAGGCCGGCACAAAAGAGGAGTTAATTATGGTTTAGTGTAATGATACAGAGCAACACAAGTTAAACAAAATGCTGTCTGACTTCTAAGCGAGGATATTAACAAACATGACAAGGCAGGGCTGTGTGACACTGTATGGACTCCAGTTTTGAAAAATCTGTGTTTTTTCCAGTCTCAGGCTGAAGCTGGTGTTTTTCTGTCTCTGAGCCTTTGTATTTCTCACCACTGGAATACTTTCTTGGCACGTTTTTTTTCCTCTTTAATTTATTCTATTAGTTTCACAGAAACCTATCTGAGATTCTGAATCTTTTCAAAATGGTTTTCATAGACAGGAAGGACTTGAATTAGCATTTGACATTCCTGTTTGAAACATTATTTCCATGTAACACGGCCTTGGGATCGGCAGAAAACTTGAAAAATAAAAATTCTCTTCTGATACCTCTTGCTGAAGTCATACAGCTGCTGAGCGGGTTGTAATGGCCTCTGTGAAAAACGTGAGATCTGCAGTGGAAGTGGTAATATATAATGTCCAAAGCCAGCAACAAAAGCAACAGAACTGCCAACACTAGACGTGAATAGCAATCATTAATGACTACAGTATTGAGCTATTTCAGAACAGGCAGCGTATTTACTCATTTGCACACTTGAACCACTAAGTAAAATAATTGCTCTTTATATGTTAAATTTTCAGAGGCTTATTCTAATGTGTGCCTGGGTAATTGGGAATATCACTTTTTTTCTATTTATAGTATTGTTTCCTTTTTTCCATTTAATTATAAAGTGATTTTTTTTTTTTTTTTTTTGTGTGAGAAGTGAGGTAAAGTCAAGTCACTGGAAGGATTTCCTAGCCTAGAGCTTGCTGTGGCTTAATACAGAGGTGTTTACAGGAATGTGGTGGGAAAAAACACAATCCTTTTCTATATAACATTTTATCAGTACATGAGCCAGGGAATTCTCTAACTTGAAAAGTGTCCTGCAGGACAATAAAGATACTGTGTTGGCAACTGATAACTTTTGATAAATAGTTTTAAAAAATAGCTATGTGGAACAGATGAATAATTAATATAAGGTTGCAGGATTCCAAAGCAGATAAAAAAAAAAAAGCTGCATAATAATGTCAGGATGGACAGTGCTGCTGGTGGGCAATGGCATGGTTCTACAGGCAACAGCTGCAGCAGTACCAGAGGTTCAGTTTGGCTGATGGTGGTGCTAGCTTGGGAGAGCAGCGGGGTTAAAGTGATTTATAGCTATATCTAAGATTAATGAATGTCTTTGCCCCCATTTTGAAATGTGTTGTTATAACCATGAGATAATAACAGCCACATTGGCAAAAAAAAATTTCTCTTGAAACCTGTGTCTGACTTCTGTCGAAGCTCCTATGTTCTTGTCTTGCTTTGGAGCCTGATATGTTTAATTTTTCCTTTGCACAAAGGCTCAAATAAATATATAGCAATTTAACAAAACATCCTAAAGCTCTTTGAGTTATTGTGGTTCTTTGTTTTTTGGTTTTTTTTTTTTGTTTGTTTTTTTGAGTCAGGACACACTGACCATTTTAAAGTCAAGTGTGTGTTTAATATGAAGTACAATAGCATGCTACTGACTGGTTATGTCCATATGATTGGTGGTTTTTTTTTTTGTATTTTATAACAAAAGAATAGTATTTGTACTTATCTGCCTTTGTTACGTGTGAATTTCTAGGTCAACAGTCAGTTTGCTCCAGGTAGTGTATAACAATAATAGAAAACTGTTACTTCTGCTTATTACTTGGTTATTCTGCAACTGGGAAAGGCATGCTGCCTTCAAAAAGAAAAAAAAGATGAATTTTTTTTGTATCTTGATCTTTTTTGTATCTCTTATTCTCAAACTTACACTTTCTGGGACTTAGCTGCCTGTTCTAATAGCATTACTTTGATTTGGGACATCATATGATTGAGAGTTGCTGAAAGCAATCTTTCATTCATGCAGATAAAGCCAGTTTGTATGTGCAGCATTTCAGAATGACAGCTTTTATACTGTAAGCAGTGGCTTTTTGAGCACATTCGTGTTAAGTAGGTCTCAAAGTCATTACTTTGGATGTGGTGATTAAGCACTTTAAAAAAAAAAACCAAAAAAAAAAAAAACCAACAACCCAGCTTTTCTTATTTTCCTGGTTGCTAAGCCAAATGGAAATGCTCATGTGACTTTTGGTTTTTGTTTTAAAGCAGCAGTGATGTTTACACTTGAGATTTTTAATCTTCTATCTACTGTTTCTCCTTTTTCTTTTTCTGCAAATTTCGCACTACAACCTTGCTTTACAGTCTTACATTTTTGGTAGGATGTTTCTTACAAAAAGCAATTGACTGAATTCTCTTTGTACTCTTTCTTAGAGAAATGTGGAAGCACACAGTTCGTGTGTCTGAAGGAGGCCTAGAATTCTTTTGGCTGCTAATCTTTTACCTTGGTTTATTTTTTCTTTTTGGTATTATATGTACAAAATGGCAAACTTTGGAAATCCTGGTTGTTTGTATCTTTTTGTGCAAATAAAGATTTCTAACGGGGGAGCAGCACTTTGGTTCGTATTTATACTTATTAGGAAACTTCTCAACACTGGAAGTCAGCTTTAATAAAGATTGTCAATAAACAGTGAACAGTGTGGTTACTTAATTGCTCCATTTGTAGTGGTTTTATGCTCCCGCTGTTCTGGGTTTGTGTTTAGAGGCACCTGCTTATTATTCCTCATTATGCCATTTGTAGGAAAACAGGATCAAAAAGACATTTTCAAAGCAGTGCTGCGCTGAATTACAGAACAAATGAACTGCAACTGCTGAGAAAGGGTGGAGTTTGAACTCAGTTCAAGCCTGCTGAAGCATATGGAAAGACTGCTGTTAATAGCAGTGGAGTTTCTTGCATGGGCATACATGCACCAGTGGTGGTGAGGATAACTTGGGTGTCTCCCTCTGTGGGGAGGCTTTTACTTGCTGCACTGGCTGCTTTTTTGGCTTCAACGGTTCCACTGCTGAATTTCTGTTAAAACTGATGATTTTCTTAAGAATGACAGTGCAGTGAATCACAGCAGAAAGACTTGGGCAAATATAATCTCAGTGGGTTGCATGCTAAGGGACTTCTGTGAAGACTGAGAAAGTATTCATGCCAGCATGTAGGGGCAGCTTCAGCTGGAAAACTAGGTACTGTTCTGGTTGTGTGTGCTCTTGGGAGAGGGATTCAAGAGGGTGTAAATGCAAGAGGAGGATAAGCAGGAAGGGTGGAGAATGAAACCAGGGAGTGGAGCAGACATGGGAGGAGAAACCGAGACTGGAAATGGGTGCCTGTAAGCAAACTAAGAGCAAAACACTTCGGAAGGAGAAGCTGCTGAAAATTCACAGGTGGCTGAGGCAGCCTGTGGGAGGAGGGCACAGAAGGGGCTTGGCTGCAGCTGAGCTGGAAAGGGGAGGCTCAGGATTCAGGGTAGAGTGAGATGGTGGACTGGCAGCAGGGAGGAGCTTGTTTCCCCACTTGTCTGTGGTGGCACACGTAGGCCAGGAACAAGAAGGAACAAGTGGTAGGATGGCAACAGGGACTTGTGAATTGTGTAAAAGCAAAGCAACTGCATTCTTCTGGGATGGTACTTGGTGTGATGCTGTGGAAGTGTTGAAGAGATCTTGATTTCAAGGTTTGCAACAAAGCTCCCGTTTTAGTTGAAACAGTGTGGGTTACTGCTTAGTAATGAATAATGGACTTGATTTTCCTTGAAAACAAAATAATAAGCCGTGCTTCTTGTGTAATGGCTGCTTTTTTCCATCTTTGTGAAATGTCTCTTAGAATCACAAAATGGCTCAGCTTCTGAATATTTTGCTTCTGGTGTTCCCTGTCCAGTTAATCAATTGCCATCAAATCTTGCAATTCAGCTAATTTGTGCATTAGGTTTAATTTCCTGAGTATAGCGCTTCTCTGGAATGATAAACTACATGATAAGTAAAATTACTGTTCTCCTAATCAGAATGTATATGTAACTTGCTGCTTTTGCTTCATATTTTTGTGTAAGTTTTCCTTATGGGATCAGTGTAAACATTTTTAGCCTGGCTGTTGTTAAGCTTAACCGTACAGGATGCACCTTCTGTGTTTATGCCAAGGTAAAAAGTTACATTGGAACATTGGAACAGAAAAGTCAATCAACTCGGCAACTTCTCTGAAGCATTCCATCTCCCAGTACTGCAATTAGTGTCTCTTGTAACCTGCTGGAGTCAGCCAGGATGATGTAGGTGCAACTAGCAGCTTTCTGTTGTGCCAAGAGTTGAAATTCAGCAACTATCTACTTAAAAGGTGATGCTGGTCCAAATTACTTTTCCCCGGCATCTGCCTCAAGGTCTAAGGTGTTGCCTGGAACACTTCTGATTTATGCCAAAGTGCTTATGCAGTGGCGAGGCCATTTGGTATTGGGAAATGTTTTACTCTTTTATCAAAGTCTTAAATGTGTTTTTTTCCCTCGTCAGCTCTGCTTTGAGACTGCTGGAGGTCACCTAATCCAGCTCCCCGCAGGACTATCTCCAGAGTTGGATACAGCTGCACAGGACCCACAGCTGTATTTGGTTCCCCACTTTTGGGCATTCCTGGGCTCTGCTCTGAACAAGATGTGCTCCCTGCTCCCCAGCACATGGGTGGTGGGTAACTGGAGAAATAAACAGGAGAAAACTGATGTGCCCTGCAGCCTCAGCAGCCTCCTGGCCCGTCTGCTGTGGTTAAAGTACAGGAATAGTACAGTACAGGAATGCTCTATAGCACAGCATTGCTTTGGAAGGAGTGTGAGCTGCCTTTGGGCTGTTTTGCTTCTGTGTATCTCGCAAAAGGGAATGGCAAGGAGAGCAGGGATGCTGCTGCACTGCATTGTGGCCAGATGCAAGTAGTGTCAAGTTAACAGCTGCTGATTACGTTTTTAAAATTACTTAATGAGTTATGCTAGAAGTTCAATAATTAAATGAACCCTGAAAATCTTTCCCTACTCCTGTCTAAGGTGAAAGTGTTGGAAAGCTATTTCAAATATTTCAGAAAAGAGAGAGACTTGCTAGTAGTTGGGTTGAAGTTTTAACTTTTAATACTGAAAATTCCACTCTGGTGCCAGCGCAGTAAGTATCATGGATTGCTGCAATTAAACCAGTGCCTTAAGTTATTCATAATACTCTTTCTGGGCAGCATTCCCACCTGCTTAATCTGTACTCTGCAAGCATTTATTAGAACTGACTGTTGAAAAACGCCAGGCTAAATCGGACACTTAAAAAAAAAAAAATCAATATGATGCCCTAAACTGGTTTAATATGTCTTTCCTCTTCAATAATCCCACACGTTGCTGATTTATTTGCTGTAATGAACATGCCATTCAACCAAAACAAGATTAGCTGCTTAAACCACAGCATTAGGCACAGAGCAACTTTAATGCTGCTTTATGTTTCGTTGTAATGCCCAACACTTTACAGTGTTGTCTCTTTCTTCCCTCCGTAATAAAGAGTTTGCGTGAGGATCACAAGGGGCTCTGGAGTGTGGCTGTTTTACTATTTTTATTGCTATTTTGGAGCAATAAATTTGAGTTTGGGTTGCAGCAGCTCCTTCATCCAACCCAAGGTGGAACCAAACTGGTGAGCAGGATTAATGCATGAATTTCTGTTCCCTGCAGGACTTTTCCGGGGTTAACCAAGAAATAAATGGCTTATGTCAAACTGATCTAGTTTAAGGCAGAACAGCCACTGACAATCAGAATATTCCTTTGGACTTCATTCACTTCTTGTTTATTTATTTCTTTGGAAGAGCAGCAGTCAGCTTGCCAAAGGTAGTGTTCACTGCAAGGTGCAGATGTCTTGGCTTTGCACAGAGAAGACCTGGGATAGATGGGCTATAAGACGAGTGACTTGAAAAGAAGTCTACAAAAAGGGACAGGGAAAGATAAAGTATCTGTGTCACTCATGCCTAGCCAAGGTATAAAACACACACCTGCTTAGGTATAATGCCTGGCAAAATCTGAAGACTGTAAACTCTGCATCTTTCAGCTCAAGCTCTGTGTATCTGCCTTCCTGCTCCAGGGGCAGTCCTCAGATGGAAGGCTCTAAAGTCAGCGGGTTTCAGGTACTGTTTTGTTCTTTCCTTGTCATGGAAAGACTGCATTAGACAGCGCCCTTCTTTTTGGTTAAGAAGCAGGTTGTAGTTGTTAGGATGTTTTGTATGTTCTCTGTGGTTAAGAAAAATTGTTAGGAATTTTCCAGGGATGATGTTTGCAATACAGTGTTATCATTCTTTTTCTTTGCAAGACAGATGAGTTACAAGTGTATACTTAGCAGCTTTTCTGGGTCTTGGTGTCAAGTACTGCAGAAGTGTGCTGAATTGAGAGCCATTAGTCAAACACAGAAATGAGAAAGATACCAAAAATAGAGTGTTTGTGGTGTGCCAGAATAGGTTATCGAGCTGAGGTTGTGTTTCTGACTGGAATGTGTGTGTCTCTTTGGCGAACTGGGAATTCAAAAGTGATCTGACAAAGGAAGAGTCAAGAGATTCAAGGTGGCTTTTTCTGGAGCTGGAGATGCTCTCTGAATGCCTGCTTGGATGAGCAGTCTTAATTTGCATAGCTCCACTGAAAAAATATCCTGAAGATGCTTTCAGGATGTCTGTCTGGATGATGGGTACAGGTATGTAAAGAGAAGGCTGGCAAGTACTGGCCAAGATGCTGGCTTGCCACTAATCTTCCTGGAAAAAAACAGAGCCTCAAGCTGAATAGGAGGGGATGTTTTTTGGGGAAAAGATATTTGGAAGGGAAAGTATCTTTCAGAATAGTTGCAATGAAGCTGGCCATGGGATGAGTAATAACAGTCATGCTATTTATATGAAATATGGTGGTACGTTTTTGGTTTTTTTAATTATCAGAACAATGCCATTTGTTAGTTTGCCCAGACTGCACATGTATAAGTGATGGTTGCATCTGATCCCTGTGTTCTAACTGCTTTGCTTTGGAGCAGACTGTTTCACTAGTGCAGAATGAGCATTACCTAAAGGATCAGAACTGGATGATCTTTAAGGTCTCTTCCAACCCAAGCCATTCCATGAGTATGTTTTTTTTGTTTGTAACACAGACAGACAGTATCTGTATGCATAAGATATACATACATGTATAAGTGTGTGTGTATATGTATGTATATATGAAAATGTATATTTATACTTTACTGCAGCCACTGTAGATCACTGTAGTTACTGCAGATCTCCCTGTAAGCTCCCACATCTATTTTATTTAAAGACAAAGTGATTGTCAGGCACTCCCGAATCACAATGATGGAAACACGTGGACTGATCTGTTTGATGTCCAAGCAGACATCAGGAGAAGGGACAGTGAGGGAAAAAAGGAATGAGCAAGAAACACCAAACTGTGCAAGAGAAAACAGGGTTGAATGGCCCTGAGAAAGCCTCTGCCTGCCTTGGCTTGTGTAACAGGGACTTATACAACACGTAACCCAATCTGACCCTGACCCTGCCAGCGCTCAGGGACTATATTTTTACTAAGATTAAGCTTTTCTTTCTTTTTCCTGGAACAATTTCCTTGGCTTTTAACTTTCCTGTTGGCTGGTTGGCATGGCCAACACAACCTTGCCTGTTTGTTTATATGACATTCAACCAG